GATTACAGAAAAAAGATCTTTGTTCCCTGTCCAGGCTTTCTCTTGTTCATATTTTCCATAATAACCCCTGAAGTACTGTATTGAGTTTTAAGAATTTTTAAAAAATATTTTGTACTTGTGTGCTTTGCTAAATATTTATGGATTTTAGTGTTTTTTGAAACAACTTTTATAAGTTTAAAACTTTTTTTGAGAACATTTTACTTTGATTAAAAAATCCCTAAAAAAATCACTAATAAAAAGCTGTACAAAAAAAATATAAAAAAAAATTTAACAATATTAATTTTAATACTTCCTACAAACTGTTTTAAAAATGATACAAAAGGCCCTAAAAATTACCCCCTTTACCCCTAAAAGGACCGATGAGGTTTTCAAAAATTAAAAAAAAATTTTTTTAGTACTAAATCATGGTCTGTGCAAAAGATAAGCTAGGGCTCTTTTTTTTCTTCCAGACATGACCTTTTTTTGAAACACCCTAATATATATATATATATATATATATATATATATATATATATATATATATATATATATATATATATATATATATATATATATATATATATATTTATATATATATATATATATATATATATATATATATATATATATATATATATATATATATATATATATATATATATATATATATATATATATATATATACTGAAATAAAAAGAGAAAATGGTTCATATATAGGTAACTGGTGAGTTTGGATTAAAAATAAAAAATTTTCTCATTATCTATACAAAGGATATTATAAGTATCACTGTTACCTGCTTTGACTGACACTTTGCAACAACTATATACCACCATCTTGCTCGACTTGCTTTAATAGTCCTTTTACCTGGAAATATATATTTTTAAATTTATTAATATAAAATTTTTACATAAATTATCATTGTTAATTAATAAATATCACTTTTTAATTCCAGTTTACAAAAAATATTGTAAAATATTCAAATAACTTATTTTCAAAAACTAATCAAAACAAATAAGTGAAAGAAAATCATAAAAGAATATCAAAAAAGAGTAGGGAGGCGGATGTTGCATTTAAATAACACTAAGAAGATTATTATATAAATAAATATATATATATATATATATATATATATATATATCTTTTATTATATACATATATAATTATATAATAAAAGATTAAAATATATATATATATATATCTGAGATATATATATATATATCTGAGATATATATATATATATCTCAGATATATATATATATATATATATATATATATATATATATATATGATATATATATATATATATATATCTGAGATATATATATATGTATCTGATATATATATGTATATATATATATATATCTGACATATATATATATCTGACATATATATATATATATATATATATCTGACATATATATATATCTGACATATATATATATATATATATATATATATATATATATATATATATATATATATATATATATATATATATACATATATATATATATATATATATATATATATATATATATATATATATATATATATATATATATATATATATATATTATATATATATATATATATATATATATATATATATATATATTAAAACAGGAAGAAAAAAAGAAGGTTCGACTAGCTACAATAATAAACAATAAAGGAATTGTCTCCAAAAAGGTGGTCCTGAGAAGGTTAGCTGAAGATTATTTAATGGGTTGTTGTCCAACCAGAAAATCACATTTAAATGAAGCCATGAAAAAAAGGGACTGGAATGGGCTAGAAAACACCAAATTATGACTATTGAAGACTGGAGTAGAGTAAATATTACTTATAATATTGTAAAAAACCAGAAATACTATAGCTTTATAATTTAAAATATCTTTGTAATTCATAGCAATTTTTTTATTTAAATAAATTGCTATGAATTAGCAATTATGTTGTTTTATATTCTAAATAGAGCCCTCTAACAAAAAAACAATAAAAAAATAACTACAAGATACGTATTTATTCATTAAAGTAGTTTAAACTTTAAAATTACTAAAAAAGTCAAGTGTACCTAATAATTTGGCCACCTACTGTATATATATATATATATATATATATATATATATATATATATATATATATATATATATATATATATACATATATATATATCAGGCTTGGTCGAGAAGCGGGAGCGATCGCTCTCGAATACTGACCACGGAAATTATATTTAGTTGCGAAAAACTGGCCAGGTTTTTTAGTCATTTTGAGAACATTTAAGTTTATGTACGAAACAAAAAATTTTTGTTTGACGGACATACATGGAAACATAAAAAACTTTAATGTTCTTAAAACATCTTGGTACAAAAGAAGAAAAAGAATATTCGCGACCTAATTCTATTGGTTCAAAAAATACGAAATAAAGTTCTAGAGAAATTTTTTAGAAATTGAATTATTCACGATTTGTTACGTTTTGAGATTTCTAGCGTAAATTGTTTTAAGAATTAATATTATTTGTTTACAAAAATAAATGTTTTAAATATATATCAATTAAATTGTCAAAATTTTAAAAGTTCATTATAAATTATAGATTTTATTAGTATATTCTTATTTTTTATTTAAAAAGTATGTATTCTTTAAGTAAATGTAATTTTGTGTATCTGTTTTTTATCGTAATGTATCTTTTAAAGCAATTTCTATGATTTAAACAAAGACTTACAAAAATAATTGCATTTTTAATGAAGTTATAATCATTAAAGTTAATAAAACTAATTATGTAACAAACATATAAGAAGTTTCTGGTTACTAAACACAAACAACGCATACAAAGTAACTCACAGTTAAACAAGCACCGCACCTGAGGTCACGACAGAACACAAATATATATAGCAAATAACTAGATATAAAGAAAAGTTTCTAGATATTGGTTTACTAACTCTAATTATTTTCGCTTAAGTTGCCATTCTTAAAACTCGTTATACTTTTTTCTGCATTAAATACTAATTAAAATTAAAAAGCCCACTCACTAAACATCATCAGCGATATTGTGAAGCAGTTTCGCTTCCTCGTCATAAAGTATTTTGAACCTTTTAAGTTGATTTCTATCTTGTTAATTTAATTTCTGTAGTAATTCAATTATTTAATTATTTCATTTGTTTATTTTACTAAGAAGAACTGCTTCAAATATGTTAAACTTTTCAAAATACGCGAAACATAAAATAGGTATTAAAAAAATTAACTTTTTTTATTTATAAAATAATTCAGCTTAAATAAAACTAAAACTTGCAAACTTTGTTAAATAAAGAATACTTGTTTCCATTTTAAACAATTGTAAGGTGTTACTTTATATAAAAAACATCGCTTAATTTTTTGAAAAAAATTATAAAAGAGCGATGTTTGTTTTAAACGTAATTTATTTAGCTTTAAGTTTTTTTGCGTTTAAAGATATTTTATTTGCCTAATTTTTTTTTTTTTTTGTAATTGTTTCTCATTGGTCAAACTTATCTTTTTTGCGCTTTTTTTGTTTGTTTTTTAAAACGTTCTCAAAACGACTAAAAAGTCTGGCCAGCTTTTCGCAACTAAATATTATTTGCGTGGTCAGCAATCGCGAGCGATCGCTTCCGCTTCCCGACCAAGCCTGTATATATATATATATATATATATACTTGTGTGTGTGTGTGTCTATATATATATATATATATATATATATATATATATATATATATATATATATATATATATATATATATATATATACATATATAATATATGAAATTGATCAGTTGTTGCATTTAAAAAACAAATAGCCAATGTCAAATAAAGGAATCACAAAGTTTGGTCCTAGAGACATTACTATTCATCATTTTTTATAAATAATTTAATCCTTATCTTCATGAAAGTTGTAAATCCAAATAATTCATAATATATATGCAAATGATGCAAAAATAATGTAACCACCAAAGGTATAGATGATTGTAAAAACTTGCAAAGTGTTAAACAAGTTGATAAAAAAGTTGATTAAATAATTGATTAAATATTTAATAAGATTCAACAGTCAATAAAAATGAGATTATCATATCACTTCTATTTTTTTCAGGAATGATCAAACAAACTGAGTTATATAAATAAAATGTTTTAATTGATGTTTACATCATTAGTGAGAACATTTACTTGTTCATATTTAATGTGAAAACATATTATCATACAACATCATTCTGGAATCTGTGTTTTTGGGTATCAGTAAAATTAAAAAGATAGAAAATATTATAATTAATGTGAACTTCCATAAGGGTAATTCCATGTCAAATGATACAGATATTTTAAAAAGTGTCACCCTATAGCTCAGATTTTGCTGATATTTATACAGTTGGGAGTACTTAGTAAAATAAGTATTTTTTGAAAATTTTAGCCTCTGGCTCTAAGAAGATCCTGAAATATGACCGTTTTACTTTTAACAGATGTTGGCCAGGCCCCTCAAAATTGTCCCCTCAAAATTGCAATATTTATTTAGAGATTTTAAGTTAAATAACTTTTAAATAATTTGATCTTTTTACTTAAAAATTTGTACCTGGCTATTTTCAGGGGTGGAAAATTCGATAAAATGATTAGAAATGTAAAAAAACTATTTTAAAGTACCTGTATTTAGCAATTTAAATAAATTCAGGCAATTTTTAATATACCCAATTTTGATGCTCAAAAAACCCATGTGGCCTTGATGATATCAAAAAAAAAAAAAAAATACATATTCTATATTCATTTATCTTTCAAAAAAAAAAAACAAAGATTTTATTTGCAAGTATATGGATTTCCATATATGGATAATGGGGCACGAGTATTGCAATTGATTTTTCACTACCTTCAAGACAAGCTGGCGCTTTAAAACTTTCTGTAGTGCCAATATATGTGTATCTTAAAGTTGTTTTCAGGGCCACCAGGAGGGGCTAAGTTATAGGCCCCACTTTTTTGTAGTGGAATCTTGCGATAGATTTTTCATTACTTTCAAGACAAAAATTTCAGCATTTGTGTAGCCCTGATAAACGTGTGCTAAAATTGTTTCCAGGGAAGATGACTAGATTAGGCCGGGGTATTGAGGGCCATGCCTTACTTTTCTCAAAAAAAAAATTTTACCTTTTAAATTAAGTAAAGATAACTTTGAAGATATTGTCTTCAAAAATATTTTTTGGCTTGTTTTTGTTCCATTCGGTTTTTGATCATTTTGTATTCAATGATCTTTTTGAAATATTTTAAGAAAAGACATAAGTTTATAAGATTTTTGATTTGCTAGTATATAGATTAAAAATAGTCATCCATCTAAAGTAATGATTTTAATAGAATTTTACATTGTATAACTTAAAACTTTTTGAATTGAGAAGAAAACAGACAGAACAACATTAATTTGTCAGACAACAATTGAAGAATACAAATTAATGTTATCAGATAATAACATATAATAACAGATAGTAAACAAGTTAGTAACTCATTCCTACATCGCAAAATGTCAAGAAAGATACCCGAGGCAACAAAAGGAAAAGTTGCAAAAGACTATATTGTCTTAAGTAATTTTTCTGAAAACTACACGTTTGTGATTCAAGATGAAATCTAAATTTAAGTCTATATATTTCTGATTCTTCCAGATATTGGCTTAGCTGAGTGTCAACGCCTGTTGGTAATTGTTGTTCATGTGCTGTGCCACAAGTGAGCATAGACTGAATAATTTCATCTATATATATTGCCATTGTAATATATATAGATATTACAATGCAATATCTATATATATTACATTGTAATATTATTATTGCCATTGATGATAATGTATAAGAATTATACAGCCGGGATTGTTTTACTGGATTTTCTTTAGTTTTGTCAATCTGCTGCTCAGCATGCTCATTGACTTCTATCTTACTTTTTCACCTGTCAGTGTTGCCTGTAATGAGAAGAGTTTAGTTTGAAATTATGGATTAACCAGTGTCACCACTATATAAAAAGGTTTCTCCTCAATGCCTTTAAAACGCTCATCCAATGACTTGATTAGGATTGACTTCATAGTCTTTACACCTGCATTATTGCAGAATATTGTGTGTCTTCTCTTCAGAATTTTTTGTTGCGTTGTTGTTTGAAATTAGGCTCAGCTAATTAAATTGTAAAGAAATGTAAATACAGATACCAAAACAAACATGAAGTTCATAGACTATAGAATTACTAAAAACATTGATTTGTAAAAATCAAATATTAAGTATACATGTTATAAATATCTGACCAAAATTCAGAAATCCGGCCAAAATTATGCAGGATTTGCTAACATTTTGCCGGAGCTGGATTTTGGGCGGATTTGTTAAAATGGCCGGATTTGGGCCGGAGCTGGAGCCGGAGCCGAAATTCGGTACAGCCCACATATATACATACATATACAAAAAAAAACATTAATTTTGAATTAAAAAAGAATACTTTAGGATGTATAAATATTTATGCAGCCCCGGTGCCGGCTACATTTTTTGAAACCCGGCCCCGGCCCCGGTCAAATATCAACCACATGCAGTGCCCTCAATTTATTAAACGAAAATGACCAGCTTAAAGAAAAATCGTTTTGCTTCATGTCATTATTTGTTCGTGTAAGCCCTTGAACCACCATGATGTACACATTTTACAGAACTAACCATTTAACGCTGATAAAAAATAAAAATCGGTAAATAGTTTCTCATACTTTTCAGTCAACTTCAAACATAAATCAAGTTTTGGTTTTTTAGTTAACAAATCATTTTTTGTAACATCAGGATCTGCCTGCAGTTTAAAATAAAAGTAAATATGATTTGGGAATCTTCAATTTTTACTATTTACGAGTCATCTACAAAAAGCATTGTTACGCTGAATTTAACTAATAGCTGGAACTAGGAGATTAATGGCTCTTGTGCGCAGAGATTTTCGAAGTAATAAAGCGATTTATGAAAACTTCCGCAGAAAAGAGCCAATGATCTTCTACTTAGTATTATTTAAATTCTGCTGGACATCCTTTGTGGACAAACCCTTATGTTGTGAACATAACCCTTATTACACCATAATGTAATAGATTATGTCGTAAAAAGGAATGTCTTAATAATAGAAAAAGTTATAAAAATAGTAAACATGAGCTAGTAAATTTCATAATTCATATTTATTGCGAGTTCAATTTTATAATCAATGTTAATTTTCTTTATACATATATCGCATAGCAAAACAAAGTCTCACCAAAAACAATAAGAGATGTTGTTTAATTACAAAAGAATGTTGATCGCCAGCGATTGCATGCTATCGATGCAAGAAAACTAATAATTATTTTTTCATTCATAATCATAAAATGTTATTATGACTATGGTTTGTTCAAACATTTGCTTTTACGTTTTAAATTCAAGCAAGCGCTAAATTTATCTTGTTTTTTAAATTTATAGAACCAGTTTGTTGTTATAAAAAAAAAACATTCTTTTTTATTAAATGTATTAAAGTTATGTTTTCATATACGTATTTAGTTTACATTTTAAATACAAGCAAGCAATTAAGTAAAGATTTACATGGAATTACCCATAATAATCCATAGTAATCCTCCATAGTAATAAGTATACTCATTATTCAAATATTATTCAATACTTGCTCTAAAATGTTGTTGTATAACATTTGTTTACACTTGTCTTTTTTATACCTCATGGTCACATTTTTAGTCATTAAGATTTTTATTGATAAATATTTTATCAGATTGATTGGTCTAAACAAAAGCCCAATACAAACAAAAATGTAGTTTTTTTTTTTTTTTTTCAAAATTCAAAGTCTTATGTATTTATAAAATTTGTCAAACTGATATACTTTTTTTATAATTAAAAATAAATAAAAAAACAATACCATAACACTTCAATAGAGGTTGGTCAGATATTTGTGAATATAATGAGCAGTTGCTATTTGAAACCAAATCTAAATTCATTATTTGATTATTCTTTGGAATAGTGACAGCAACTTTTTCTTTACATGTCTAAAATTTATTTTAATATTACTTAAATAAGGAGCAAGCAAAAAACATTATGCATAATAAATGCACTAATTTATACAACTAAAATATTTATTTAATAGCTATTTACAAACAAATTGAAAAAAGCTTTATTTACAGCTTTATTTTAGTCGTTATCATAAGATTTGATTGGTTTCAGTAAAAACCTTACACGATTTAAACTCTATAAATGGAATTACAAAAATACACCTTAAAAATATCTCAAACCAACACTTAATGGATGTGGAGTCTACAAGCAAGCTAAAGTAAACTTTTTTGTACTTTTTCCCCTATAAAAAACAAGCTCCATTTAGATTTCATATTTCAAATGATATTTCAACAATTTCATCTGTTAATTTCCAGACATTGAATGTTGTGCCAACTACCAGCATAAATAGATTTTCTTGAGCAAATTTTTACCAACATAACAGGAATACACTGTATTTTTATAACTACAAGTGATAATAATTTTAATTTTTTTTTTTTTTAAAAAAAAAAAAGGACAACTCAATTTTAAATTCAAGTTTGAATAAAGTGAATTTTAATAAGTGCAATTTATTAGAATCAATTGTATTTTTTTTTAATATAGTAACTTCCCCAAAGCTAGAGGTAGCTGCAGTCAAATAAGATTTGCACTTTTCCATTCAACAACTTTAACTTTGGAGTCAGATAGAGTTTACAAAAATGCATGGCATACAACCATTTCTCAGATATTTATCAGTTGCCACACCCTTGATTACAACAATAAAAATAACTTCACAACATTTTTCCTTATTTTACAAAAATTACACTTACACCCAAATAATATAAATCCAGCCATTTTAATAAAACCTATATAAACGTCTCACACATAAAAATATAATATATAAATATATCATACCATTTCTGGATGAGGATAAACATGTGGCCACTGGTCATCAAAGTAAAGAATAATTTCTTGACAACATGCATCCTTAAAAACATAGATACCTGTTGTATTATTTCTATTTTTAATCTTTTTAAAACTATGTATGTGTAAAAAAATACAAAGTATTAAGAGTATGCATTGAAAATGAGCATTTTTTTATAAAAAAACAACAGACTCAGATCAATCAAAATACTATCTATCGACAGCTAAAACCTTCTCCCATCTTTCAGGTAGCATGGGGACTCCCACTGGAAAAAGTCTTGGTCTTTTAAGGCAATCCAGTCATCAACCCATTTTTTGGTATTGTTATAAGAAAAAAATTGCTGCTCAGTCAAGCCATGTGTCATCAAGCAGAACAAATGATAATCAGAGGGGGCAATGTCTGGTAAATGCAACAGGTAAGACTTCTTGGTTGAGGTTCTCCAGATATATTGTCATATTGAAGAATTACCTTGTCATTTCTTTTGATGTATTGCAGCCTTTTATCCTTCAATGCTTGGCTTAGCTTGATCAATTGTTGTCAGTATCAATATGCTGTAATCGTCTTGTTTGATTTAAGCAGTTCATTATATATTACTTTGAGCTGATCCCACCAGATACAGAGCATGAGCTTGGAACTATAAATATTTGGTTTTGCTGTCTATGTTAATGGCTAGCCAGGTTTGACCCATGCCTTTCTGTGTTTAAGGTTATCATAACGTATCCACTTTTCATCACCAGTAACAATTTGATGCAGAAAACTTTTTCTTGTTTGCCCTGCAAGCAGCTAAATGTAGCTAAGAAATAGTCTTTTAATGTCCCTCAGTTTTAACTCATACAGCATTCAATTTTCTTGCTTTTTAATCATTCGCAGTTGTTTCAAGTTAGAAAATGTAGATTGATCGACTCCCAATGTTTCTGCAAGCTCTTCCTGTGTCTGCATAAATCTTCATGAAGATTCAACCAATTTGGTATCTTCAAACTTTTTCTCAGCACCAGGATGTTCTTCATCTCCATCCTTGAACTGTTGAAACCACCTTCTGCATATTTGTTTTAAGAGAGTGTTGCTGCTATATGTTTCCACTAATATTTTATGCGCCTCAGCTGCTGCTGACTTTCGGTAGAAGTAAATTAAGAGAATTCCCCACAATAACAGTTTTGTAGACACAAACTCAGCCATGTTTAAAATTTTGGATAAAAACATCTATACACTCAGGCAGTTGAAAATGAACTGATGTTTGCAGCCTAGAATTTTAACTTTCAGGTAAAATTTATTTCAGCACGATCAAATATATACCTACTGAATTATGAGTCTCAATACAAAATGCTCATTCTCAATGCATAATCTCAATATAAAAATATACTTAACTATAATAATATTATATAATGCAAAAGCATAACATAATTAAACTTTGTTTATGAAATTTAAATTTTTAAAGAGCTAACTTAAATTTTTTAATAAGGCTAATTTAATTATTAGTTAATAATTATTTCAAGCAACAGCTGCATACTTTATTCAACAAAGAAATACAAGACAGTCATAACAAAATGATTTAACATAAAAAATTTAGAGATACTTAAAAAATTATCTACTTGGGGATATTCAAAGTTGAAAGTCATAGCTCCATCTTGTGAAAGATAACAAAATCGCGCAATAAAAGACCAATCCTATAAATAAACATTAGAACATATATATTAGAACTTTATAGAAGAAAAGCTTTATAATTAAGCATTTATATAAAGCTTTTTACTTATCAGTTATTTTATATTATATAACTAAAATAAAACTTTATGATGCAAGTCATAAAATAAAGTTTTATGACTTTTGTGTATGAATATTTTCTACAATTTTCAAAAATTGGCAAGATTTTAAACTTAGAAAAAAACTCTGCTAATCAATTCTTTGTAAAGGCACAGATTTTACTGATTAGGTAATAAAAATAAGTTTTCATTAACATAGTTTTAACTATTTCAACTAATTTATTTTCAACAAGAATGTAGAAAACCACTAATTAAGTTGGAAGCAACGAGGAAATTAGGAAGATAGTTAAAGAACAAGTATATAGCAAGATATAAAAGCTCTAAAACATATATGCTTTATTTATTTATTTTTAAAACATATAAATCAGCAAAATATGTTGTCAGGTGTGCACTGACGCACTGATATAAAATTACAAAAAAAATTAGATAAACAAAGAATTTACAACTTTGCAAAATGACTAATCACTTAAAATTGAATTTTGATAACTGAAACAAAAAATTAAATAACTTAGCAATAGCTGAATTAATAAAGCTATCATTTTTTTGACAGTAAAAAATGGTGTTAAAAGTTTTTGGACCAGAGTTAATGTTAAGCTATCTCTGCAAAGAAATGTACAAGGAGATTTGTAATAGTCTCATTTTAAAGCCGTGCTTAAATTGTGTTTGAAAAGATCAAAATCAAATTTTTTTTTTTTACTTAATAATTTTTAAACAATTGCAAAATACGAAAACATTAGAAACAATTTGTACAAGTTTTGGGAAAATAATCCAGATAAAAAAAAAAAAAAAAAATTGCCAACCATTTAATAGCTCTTGGGTATGCAAAATAAACTGTTTATAATTGGATTAAACCTATTGAAACTAATGAACCATTGGAAAGAAAAATATTTCGTGGTCGACCTGTTATAATTGCATTAAAAACCAACATTCAATATATTAATAAAAGGTGGCTCATCATTCTGACTATTCCCAAAATTGCGTCAGAAAGCTAAAATTCCATCAAAGTTAAGTTTCAAAGTTTTTAAATAAAAGAACTAACATCAAATATCGTAAAAAAAGTAAAAATCCATTTCTAACTGAAAATCATTAGAAAAAAGTGAGGCCAAAGTGTCAAAAAATATTAGAATAATATAAAAATAATGATTTTATTTTAGACAATGAACCATTCTTTACTTTTACTCATTCGTTGCAGCCTGGCAACTCTGGTTTTTATTCAAATGATATTAATTTGACTCTCTTGCATGTAAAGTTTGATTTTAAAGCCAAATATGAAACATATCAAAGTTACTTTTTATTCATTTAGGAATGGTAGTGAACCATGAAACAGTCTACCTGGAAACCATAATTAAAAAGTATTTGTTATCTTTTATAAATGTTTAGTACAGGAGAGTACATATTTTGGTCAGACTTGGCATCTGCTCATGCATGGTAAATGAGCAAAATATCAATTTTGTGCCAAGATCAATCAATTCTGCAAATGTCCCTAAAACACGGCCAATCAAAGACTTTTGAAGAACTTAAAAAATAAAGTTAATAAAAGTATTTGGAGAGCGAAGAATATTGATCATTTGAAATCTAGAATTATCTAATGTCTTGGCAAATTGGATCTTAAACTTGTACAAAACCATAGTTTGGGTGTTAGGAAAAGGTTTGACCATATAAAAAGACCTGGTGTCTAATTTTATTTTTCTCTTCAAATACTAAAAAAAGACAATTTTTTATTATTTTTTTAAAGTTTTGTGTTTTAAATTAAAAAATTTTTTCGAAAAATAAGGCTTTTATTCCAGTCCAAAAACTTATTCATTACCCATTATTTGTAGAAAAAAGAGAATGAGACAAAACCTATGATAATAAGATAGAGGTTCAAACTGCTGCTAAAATTAGCAGCTAAAGCACAGATATTTTCCAAAGGGATTAGTAATAAAAATAATTCAAGAAGATCCAAAGTAGAAAAATTAGTAAGAATTTTGCCATTTATCAATAGAGAAATATCATTAATATTCTGATAATTGTATACAGAAAACAACTAAACTTTGTTGGGGCTAAAATTTAAAAACCACTGCAACTCTATCACAGGGAAGAGATCATATTCAAAACCAATTGCTTTCCAAATCCAAATGTGATAAATTATTATCAAGGCTCAAATATATAATTGTATCACAAACAGTTTAGAGTAAGATTGTCAGGAAGATCATTAATCTAAATAAGAAACATTATAGGACTATGTATGAAAGCCCCTGAGGTTACTAGAATTAGGAGACGATTACCAATCAGGGATTTTAATACTTCAATAAAAAGTTTAATACTTAATAAAAAAAAAGATTTAATAATTTTGAAAACATTACAGATAAAGCTCACAGAGCAAGGTTTGTAAAAATTGTGAAAATACCTGCCTGGGTCCCAGCTGAATGAACAGGAGGTTACCTGGATACCCGTTAACAAAAAATACGTTTTATAAAAGTTGTTCTTATAAACAGTCAATGAAAACTTTTATATCAATGATTCCACTTATTTAGAAAAACTTATTTAAAAGGCTTGGTGATAAGACAAATTATGTCATCTTTTTACCCATGCTATTTGTATCTATATTATGTTTTAAAGCTTGAATAAACTTATACATTAAAAAGTAAAATAAAAAATGTCCAGGTGTCCAGGTTATACAAGCACCAGTTATGGTTTAGAAATACTAGCAGGTACATGGGCACTTAGGTACCCATCGACAGCCTTATTCACAGTTGTAAGAAATATAATGATAAAGTGAATGTGCTGTATAAGAGAAACATGATAAAGGATCAATTGAGATTACACCATGTTAAAAACGACCTAAAGGAAAATAAGGAAAAATTGAAAACAGGTTACAATTATAAAAAAGGCAAAAACCAAGAAGTTAAGCCATTTAGGTTTTAAAAAAAAGTCACAAAGCTATCTAGATAGAATATAGAGAAAGGAAAATATTTTGGGAATATTGCCAGTTAAGTTACAGCTACCAGAATGATGAATACTACAGTTACTAAAAACAAGGATATTGAAAAATGAATTAAGAGAATGGGTTTGGTCATTTTGATTAGAAATACCACAAAAAAATGTGAAGTTTCAGGAAAAACAAAACAATAGAAAAAAAACTGATTAAGTGAAAAGGTGTTAAACCTTTTATAAGTTAAATTGGTTTCAGAATAATTTAACGAATTAATACAGAAGTGCCTTACTGGGCCAAACATGTGAATACTAAAGTTTTTATAAGTTAGAAAATAACACTGTTAACACTGAGACCTAAAGATGAAACTGCTCAAATTTAAATTTATTTCACAAAAAAAAAGTCTGGTGATTTTTACATGAGCTAAGAATCAACCCATGGGTAAATTACTTCAAAGACCACCAATATTTGTAAAAGATAAATTGAAACAATTTGCTAATGACAATGATTAATATTTTAGGTATATAGCTGTGAGTTCAACTATTAGAGAAAAGTTAACTCAAACATAGTTAGTACTTGGCAACTTAAGTAATAAGCTTTGCAGTTAACTTTTATTGAATTTTTATTGATTTTAAAGATTTATTGAATTGTTGCATATGGTTTTTGCATCAAAATTAATAAAGACTAATTTGATGGTATTTTGCTACAAATAATACAATAGAAAAATAATTCAAGAACATAATTATAAAATTATTAGTTAAATTATATAAAAAATTATCATTAAACAAACCATACTTTCAAATATTAAAAAGTGTAAAATTGAATTATTGTGAAAAATTATTTAAATTAAGTATTTAATTTTTATTATTATATACTCTTAGACAATTCATAACTTTGGGTCCTTTCATGCTAACTAACTAAATAAAAATTTCCATAAAGGCAAAAATGTTGAAAATAATTCATAACTAAAAAAGACTAACTCAAAGAAGTAAGCCCTTTAAAAAACAACCTGAATAGTGATTAAATTTCCTTCAACTATCAAACATATCACATTGAACTGAAAATATCCGAATAATATCAAAACAACCCAAAATAACAAACGAAGTGAATTCATTATTTTCAATTTTGGAGTATGTTTTACATAAGTTATATACAAAATAAATAAGAGTGAAATATTAAAAAAGCCATCATATGAGCTACAATACAATCACAATCTACAATTCAGGGGGTAAATTCTACTATAAGCAATCAATTTAAAGAACTATTTATATATTTTTCGTTGTTAAAATATTGAAAGCAGTTAAATTTTATATATTTTTTTAAGATGTAGAAAAAATGATTTTCTATTAAGAATGCACTTTTTTCCTTAATTGCTTTTTATAAAATTACAAAACCTTCTTTTTACAAGCTTTTTATTTACTATGACAACCATATATATAAGTTGCGTTTTGTTTTAACTTAATATTTGATGACTATAGTATATATTAAAACAGCAAGACTCATCATACTTTTAAAAAAAATTATTTTTAAAAAGCTCGTATTTCTTTTATTTTTAATCAATTACAGCGGCAAGTATTTACGATTTTCAAAAGTTGTTCCGTAAAACAAAACCAAGTTAGTTTCTAACAATTTTGACGCTTGAAGCCAGTAAAATTTATGACCTATGCTAGTATGGAAAAAACGACAACCCCTTTCTTTAACAAAAATTCTTAGAAACTAAACCATTAACTTTTAACATCTCAAGAAACCAAGGATTATTTGCTTCTAACTGTACAATTTTCTAAAACTTTTCCTTTCTATTTTTCTTTTTGCGAAACTCGCTTTACAGATGGACAACATTTTACAAATTAGTTACAAAATTTTTTAAATTACAAAACAACTTGATTAATTTAAAAACAAATGCAAACCCAGTTGGGAAATAATAAGAGAAAGTATTGGAAAAGCTTAAGTTCCCTTTCCCGAAATTGATTTTTTTTAAAAGTTATCTTTTTATTTTACCCTTGAAAGGCTTATAATTAATCTTTAGAAAAACAAACCAACTGGAGCTGATGAAATTAATGATAAAATAATTATAGAGTACTTTAAACGTAGTTTATTTTAAAAATACTGTCTTTATAGTTTTTAAAGTATTTTTTCATAAAACACTTTTAACTTAACCGTTAAGTTAAAAGTGTTTTACAGTGTTAACGAATAGATCTTTTTTCTTTATTTGCTTAAAAATGTTTTTTCAAGAAATTTATCGCAAACTTCTATTGATCAAGTTGAAATAAATTTTTATTCTGTTATATTTGCACTAAAGATTTATAAATAAGGTTTCTCAGCTTTTCATATGTAAGGGAATCAATTCAACCAATACATGTGGGTACCGTGTTGGATTCGTCCGGTTATATGGGATATATAAGGATTACTTTGGCAGAATTAGTGTTGGATAGCAAAACTTGTTATCAAGGCAGATTTTAAAATAAGATTTTATTAAAATTTAAATAAATAATATCTTAACGATATTTTTTAATAAAATAAAACATTATTTTATTGATAAATTTCATATATATATATATATATATATATATATATATATATATATATATATATATATATATATATATATATATATATATATATATATATATATATATATATATATATATATATATATATATATATATATATATATATATATATATATATATATATATACATATATATATATATTACATGATGAGATTATGCGCACTTGCATCATCTCATTATGTAGTATATATATATATATATATATATATATATATATATATATATATATATATATATATATATATATATATATATATATATATATATATATATATATATATATATATATATATATTTAAGTTGATTTAGGTGCCCCAAGAAGTCCCAACCTTCCCAACCGATGCATCGGTTGGGAAGGAGGCGTGAGTACATGCATCCGGCTGCTGTCTTGTAGAAGGCCTCCTAGGAAAAGACTTAAGTGGTAAACAGATTCTATCTGTTGACCAGCCTCGCACCCCTTCTTCATCTATTAGGCTGGTGCAGATGTATTTTTAATTTATTGTTTCCAGTTTAGGATGTTGAACGCTGGATCTTCTTGACTCGATTCATGGGTTTTGCTTGTGTCTTTGTTTTTATGACTAGGCAACTCATTCTATTATCTCCAAATGAGGGTACAGCTCTAAAACTCAGTTTTATGGTTCTGAGGCCGGCTGGTAGTCAGGTTTCCCGAACTCTGTGGTAGCTCTCAGAGAGGCTGATTCCATCAACAGCTGAAAAATATCAGAGTACTAACAGTGCCATGTTGCGCATGGATGGTGTCCCTGTTTGTACTTTTGGTGTGCATTGCCAAGACCACATTGGAGTCCTTTGTTACGGCTTAGGGTTTATTAGTGGAAATGAGGCAATTGCTTGAGCTATAGAACAGTGTACTATCAATGTTTCGAGTCAAGTTCTTTAACAAATTTAAAAATGAATAAAGTAACAAAAACTATAAAACACAAAAAACCACACTCATCACTAAGTTCGCTAAACCTATCATTCACCAATATTAGTGGTCTTCGAAGTAACTTTTCTTCTGTTGAGTCTTATCTCTTGCAAAGTTCACCAGACCTGCTTGCTCTTTGTGAGACTAATTTGAGTTCAGCTGTCTCATCTTGTGATCTTAGTGTTGATGGTTATCTTCCTTTAATTTGTAAAGACTCCAACAGTCACATGCTTGGCCTGGGCATTTACATTCGTAAGAATTCACCATTTGTCGGGAAACTAGGTTTGAATCCACAGACTACTCTTTTATGTGCTTTTGTTTAGCACCACTTCACTCTATCACCTTTCTCTTTGTTCTATATCGCTCTCCTTCATCCCAAGACTGCACTCTTCTTGATGTTATTTCTGATTATATTGATCAAGCCCTCATTCTTTATCCATCAGCCAATATTGTTGTTGTCGGTGACTTTAATGTTCATCACACTGAATGGCTTGGCTCTAGTGTCAGTGACTCTGCAGGCATTAAGGCCCACAACTTTTGTCTTTCTCAATCCCTAACTCAAATAGTCAACTTTCCAACTCGGTTTCCAGACAACCCAAATCATTTACCTTCTCTACTCGACTTATGTCTTGTTTCTGATCCTAGTCAGTGTTCAGTTTCTTCACACTCACCCTTGGGTGCGTCTGATCATGGTTTGGTCTCTCTAAAACTATTATCTCATTCTTCTTTACTATTAGAATCCCCCTATCATCGTACATCTTACAACTACCTTAAAGCTGACTGGGACTCTTTTCGTGACTTTCTTCGTGATGGCCCCTGGGTAGAAATCTTTCGTCTCCCTGTTGACAAATGTGCTTCTTACATAACTTCGTGGATTCAGGCTGGCATGGAATCCTTTATTCCCTCTCGACAATTCCAGGTCAAGCCTCACTCTTCTCCATGGTTTTCCTCACATTGTGCTGCTGCAATTGCCAATCGAAACCATTACTTCCATATCTATCAGCAAAACAATTCTCCAGAAAACAGACGTCTCTTTATTACTGCTAGGAACCATTGTAAAAAGGTTTTGTCTAACGCCAAAACCCGCTATTCTCAGATCATGAAATCTCGTATTTCATCCCAAAAATTAGGCTCTTGTGACTTCTGGAGAATCTTTAATAGTATCAATAATAAGGGCAAGTCTGTAATTCCACCTCTTTTGTACGGTTCAGACTTTGTCACCTCACCTAAAGACAAAGCTGAATTGTTTGCCAAGAACTTTTCATCAATATCATCTCTTGATGCCACTAATTGCGTTTTACCTGATATACCCGTCAAACAGGTTGATCCATTGCTCGACATTCGTATCACTCCAGCTTCTGTATCTAAAGTGATTTCCCGCTTAGACTCTTCTACAGCTTGCGGCCCGGACAACATACCTGTTATAGTCTTGCAGAAGTGTTCTCCTGAGCTGTCGTCTATCTTTTCAAAACTATTCAACAAGTGCTTATCAGAGTCTTGTTTTCCAGCCTGCTGGAAAGCAGCATCTGTTATCCCTATTTTTAAAAATTCTGGAGAGCAATCTGATTCATCTAACTACCGTCCCATTAGTCTTCTTCCTATCATAAGCAAGGTTTTTGAATCTTTAATTAACAAACACTTAATCTCTCATCTCGAATCTCATAACCTACTTTCTGATCATCAGTATGGATTTCGATCTTCTCGTTCTACGGCTGATTTGCTATCAGTAATAACCGATAGGTTTTATCGCGCATAAGATAAAGGTGGAGAGGTTAATCGTAGTATAAAAGTTGTCCTTGATGGACAGCACTCTTCTTCTTATTCTGTAACCTCAGGGGTTCCCCAAGGTTCAATCCTTGGCCCTATACTCTTTTTAATTTACATTAACGATCTTCCAGATATTCTCACATCTAAGGTGGCATTGTTCGCTGATGATACTACCATTTATTCTTGTCACGATAAGAAGCCAACTCCCTCTGATTGCTTGCAGGGGGCATCTGAGCTCGAAAAGGATCTCACTTCTGCTACAGCATGGGGCTCGCAGTGGCTGGTGAACTTTAATTTAGATAAAACTCAATTTTTTTCAGCCAATCGTTATCGCAATAATTTAGACCTTCCTATATTTATGAACGGTAATATACTCGATGAGTCTCCTACCCTTTATCTTCTAGGATTAACTCTTACTTCTGATCTTTCTTGGAAACCTTATATCAAATCTGTTGCAAAATTAGCATCTGCTAAAGTTGCTTCTCTTTATCGAGCTCGTCACTTTCTTACTCTGGATTCTATTCTCTATCTCTATGAATCTCAAATCCGGCCTTGTATGGAATACTGTTGCCATATCTGGGGCGGATCTTCTAATGATGCCCTTTCTCTTTTAGACAAGGTGCAAAAACGCATTGTAAACATAGTTGGACCTGCTCTTGCAGCCAACCTTCAACCTCTGTCACATCGTCGTAATGTTGCTTCTCTTTCTCTTTTCTACAAATACCATAATGGGCACTGCTCTAAAGAGCTAGCGTCTCTTGTGCCATCTACTAAAATTCATTCTCGCGTTACTCGTCATTCAATTAAGTCTCATCGTTTTTCTGTTACTGTTCCTAAGTGCTCCAAAAACTTATATTCGTCTAGTTTTTTTCCTCGAACATCAGTTCTTTGGAATTCGCTTCCTTCATCTTGCTTTCCTGATTCATATAATTTGCAATATTTTAAGTCGTCTGTCAATCGTTATCTTGCTCTACAATCTTCATCTTTTCTCTTCCAGTAACTTCCAACACTAATTAGTGGTTGCTTGCAACCTTGTTGGAAGCGAAGATAATTAAAAAAAAAAAAAAAAAAAAAAAAAAATTTAAATAAGAAAATAGGATCATAGAAACCTTTCCAAACCGCGCAAACTTTAAAACTCACTTTTTTTTACTAACCAATAATTAAACTCTACTTGCAATAAAAATCGATTACATTAAACATTAAGGAATGAATCTTAATAATTTTTATACTAATATTTTCAGTCAAAAAATAATAATAGTCTTTAAAAAGAAAGTTAATCTAAAGTTTTTTTATATCATAAATTTATTTGTGATTATTTTTTAGCTGATGTACCGTTAAACTGAAGGTGGTAATAAAGTTTACAAAATTTGCTCTGGCTGAATTTTTCAATGAAAAAACAATATGTGTGCTATGAATGTAATCTGTTTTTCATGGCGTATCAATGAAAGTTTGGTGTATTGGCCTAATCACTTTCAAGGATCTTGCCTTTAAACTGCCATACGTAAAGTCACGCTTTTAAAAGTAACTGAAAGCAGCTGAAAATAAGAATTTTTTGGTAATGGTCTTATTTACAATATTGTTTTTGTTTTATTTACAGTATTGTCTTTGATTTTTATCTAAACAGCTATGTTTGACTCAAATATAGTAAATGTTGATTGTTTATTATGGTTTCATCTCTTCTTTATACTTTTTTTTGACAGTTATGAGACTGCTTTAGAACTGAATTATCTGTGCCTCCAACTAAAAAGGATGCAGGTTAAAAAAAAAGTGACACTGATAAGATTGTCTCTCAGTTTCTCAAAGATTGAAGAAATCTTTTGTGTTTTAGGGTTTCATAGGATAGTCAAGCAAAGCTCTGATTCCATCAGAGCTTTGCTTGACTATCTCTTTCGATTTATTGAATTTATTTGCTGGTTATAGATGAAAAAAGATCTTCTAAACCTAGAAGAAAAATTATGGAACAAAGACACCTTATGAATCAATAGTATATATCAGTGAATTGATATTAGTTAATAATTTTTGGAAACAGTACCATGTACTATTAAAGTTTCTAATTTTTAAAATATATGATACATTTATATGAAACATACAAACAAATGATCCAATATGATACGTGATTGACTATAATTATGTTCTATATCAGAATGTTTTATGTAAATGCTTATTACATTTTATTGTGATTTTTATCTTTTATGCCCAGTTAGCAAAGTATTTTGTGTAGCAATGACTACTAATCTCAGATATCTATGACATCTGTAGGGTGTATTCACCGCTACAGATGTCATAATCTATTTATAACCAATTGCTTTTACTCTTCCATAATGTCATATTTTAATAAGAATCACATTATGGAAAACCGTCTAATACATACACATGAGGAAATATTATACTTTTAGTACAACCAATTATATTACATTTGTTTTCTTATTTTAGATAAACTTTCTTACTTCGGATGGAGTAGATGAGAAACAACTTACAGCGGCAATCTTAATGCAGCTAATGGCCAAAGAAGTATGTTTTTCATACTCAGTGTATGGAATGAAACAAAAACGTCCTGCAAGGTCGTTATAGGTAGAGCACAATATTTGTATTTTACATCCCATTTCCTTTTAATAAATAAATATTTTAATAAAAGTTTATTACTTTACAATATTTATACGTGAAAAGTTATATATTTCAAAATTATATTTTGATGATATTTAAAAAACATTTTGCAGAGTTGCGTTTAGTCGTTTATCGTTGTATTCGTTCATTTTGAAGTCGCTACTGACAAAAGTCTTAAAGAAAAAATTGGCTGCTTTCTGGCGACGGCCATTAATAGAGATTACGGAAGAAAAATAGAGCAACACCCAATATTGAGCAATGAAATAAGTATCGCCAATATAATGAAAGTCGATCCCCACTATCTCATAGTGAGAGTATAATACAGTAGTATATATATATATATATATATATATATATATATATATATATATATATATATATATATATATATATATATATATATATATATATATATATATATATATATTGTACATGTATTTAAATAACATTGATTTTATTTTGTTATATTTTGGCTTTGGAAAACTCTATACCTCTTTTTTTCATTTGTATCTGTTTTATATAACTTTAAATAAATTTAATGATTTCGAATTTTTTTTTTCTTAAAGCGTGTTCTATGATTATTGTCATCTCCTAGACTATAACCTGTTTAACTCAAAAGAATGCAGCCCAGTACTAAGTATCACTTAAACAAGAAAACTGTTAGTAATTTTAATTATTACAAATTTGTAAAAGGCAATATTTTTTATTATTTTTTAATAATAAAAATTTAATCGAAAATACTTAATATATTGCCTTAATTTAGTTATATATACTATATATATCAGGATAATATTGTAAACTATATTAGGCCAATATTGGCCAATATAATATCCCCATTATTGGCGCGATATTATTTACAATATTGGCGCAATATTATAAACTATATCGGGCCAATGTTGCAGTGTGAACATTTTGCCAATATTGGCCAATATTGACTTTACAGTATTGGTGCAATATTGTATCGCCAATATTGGCCAATATTACTTTACAATATTGGCGCAATATTGTAGCGCCAATATAGGCCAATATTGACAAAATATTCACATTGCAACATTGGCCCGATATAGTCTACAATATTGCGCCAATATTGTAAACAATATCGCCCCAATATTGCGCCAATATTGTTTGCTACTAAGGTAGTTATATATAAACTAGTTATATATATAGTATATATATAAATTAGTTTTTAGCAAGATTTTGGGTTAATATATTGTTGCATAATACACTTATATCATTGCATAATACATCTATAAACAAAGGTGTCCTGAGAGGGGGCGTAGGGGTGTTTACCACCCCCTCCCTTACGAAATTAATTAATCGACAAAATGGACAGAGGAGTCGGCAAAATTGGATCTATAGTTAACAGTCGACAATTGTCAGTCAACGAGTTTTTTTTTTTTTTTTTTTTTAGATTGACAAAAAAAAATTTTATCGGCACTAAACAGAAAGGTCACCCCACCCCCTCCACCTTTAAGATCTCTTCCGGACGCCTTTGTCCAAAAATATAAGTTGAAAGGATCTAAGATCCACGGAACAGACGGATACATCTTTAGATACTCTTTGTCTGATTGTGAAATGTTTTAAAAATAGCCTTTTATTTTTAAATGATTTTTAAATCAGTTTGCATAACGGTCTCCTTTTCTATACCTCTCTACTAGGATCGTATATCTAGAGAAGATTAGAAACTAAGCCCCTCTCTTTCATCTTTACATAGATGAATCGAAATTTTAGGAAAACATTTTAACTTTTAGAATTAGTGTTGCATTAGCTTATAAGTGCATCTCACAATAAGATAAATTTAAATCAAGCGCATTAATATAAAAAACGTTCTTCTAATAGTTCATAATTTTTTTTATAAAAGATAGACCATTCTGAAAAATATGTAAAACAGTGCGCTGATTTCAAAAATGAAGCCATGGTTCGAACATGGCGCCGAAGAACGATATGTCCAAGCTTAAAAACTTTAACTTTTTATTATAAAAACTCAATTTTTTATCATTGAATTTTTTTTTTACTTCATTGTTGTAATCATTGTTTTATACGAATTACTGTTTTTAATGAATTTATATTTTAAATGCAAATAATACAATATTGTTCCGATTTGCCATTAAATTATTATTAGCTATGTCGATTGTTATTGAATATAGTGCACTTTTTCTAAAATGTTTCAAATCCAGCATATTTAGTTCTATTCGAATAAAATATAGAAACATAGCATATTTCATATGCTATTTTATTTAATTATTAAATTAGGAAATTCAAAATTGTAAAAAAAGTAAAATGTTACGTGTTTAAATTTATTTTTTTTTACAATGTTTTTAAAATAATGGAGCTATAATGAGTTAATTAAATGCAAATTTAAATGCAAATTTAAATTGTAATGATAGAGCAAAAAGCTCAAAATTTAAAATTGTTTTTGTTTAGTATTTTAAAATTTTTTTTAAATTTACAATGCAATAAATTCACACAAAAGAATATTATTTTGTAGGTTAGTAAATATTCTAAAGTTTCTTGAAAAATTTTAATTTTTTTCTAATTTATCTATTTTTTTCTAATTTATCAAATTTTATTCTAAAGTTTTTTTTATGCTTATAAGTTTTAAAATGTACCCAGAACTATGTTGATTTTTACTATATTCGCAGTTTTTATGCCATTAATTCTGTTTGGAAAACTCATTTGTTATATTTAAAAGCATTAAATTTTTTATTATTTTCTATTATAGCAAAATGATTAGTAGGTTAGAAAAAGAATATATACGTGGATGTCGTATTATTGCCAGAATAGGTTTTGTAAGCTTGTTTGGTGCACAAACAATACCACACCTTTTTCCAAATAGATTTTTTCATTCTTCAAAATCTTTTATTCAGGAAGAAGTTAAAGATAAACATTCTAATTTGCTGCAAGAAACATGTCAAAAAATGGGTATTGACTCAGAAAGGGTGAAACTTCATTATGTTTCTGGTTTTAGTACTGTTAGTGCAGGTTGTTTCTATTTTTATGGTAATGCTATCATAGGTCTATCTCGAACATGCAATATCAGTAATGAATCAGAAGTACAAAAACTTATTTTGTTTAATAATAGACCCATTGATTCCAAAATTTGTGCTGAACTTTTCAAAACTATTTCATTAGAAGATCAAGAACTGAAATTTTTATTAGGACATGAACTTGCTCATATTAAAAACCAACATTTTTCTGCATTTGTTTTACACAGTTCTGGATTGTTATATACATTTTATAAACTTGGTTTTTTTTTTTCTTCATGTTTAAAAAACTTGTCATTTTTTCACAGGGTGTTTATAAATCTATTGGTTTGGTCTTTAGGTGTATTTATTTATAAAACAACACATAAGTATTTGTCGTATTATTTTGAGTTTGAAGCTGACAAAATTTCTTCATATTTAGGGAAGGAATATTGTGATGGTGGAATAAGCTACTCAAAAAAAAGGCTACAGATGAATTTGATTTTACGTAAATTAAATGGCCTTGAAGGAGATAAGCTATATACAGACATTGGAGATACTATACATGATATAACGCATCCAAAGAGATCAGAACGATTAAAAAGAATGGAAATTATCAGAGATGA